AGACACACACACACACACACACACACACACACACACACACGGGGAGGATTGATGGGAATTACCTAGGGCTTCCTTGCCCCCTCCAAAGCAGACTACGTAGTAGAATCATTCCAGATGACCATTGGGGAAACAGCCTATGGAGCGCATATCATTTATAGCCCGTTGACCATGCGCCTTTTCTCCCGCTCAAAACAGTCCAGCCGTGTGGTTGGATTCTTCTTGCTCCAAGGGTCCGGCCTCTCCCGTTTGCGCGTTGGATTCCCACTGAGACCCAGTGGCATTCGGCGTGTATCTTGTAGCATGGAGCGCTCAAAGTCGATGAACATCACGCAGCGGTTGCGTTCGTTCCAGGTCATATTTCCTGGATGGGATCGCCATGATCATCCCTAAGCTATGGAGTTTTTCCAGTGAGGTCTCGACTTGTTGATCATCTGGCAGCAATCGTCCCGTAAAGGGGGGATAGGATAAACTCAATGGTCATAAGTGAAGACAAAAAAGTAACCATCTGCGAAGTCTGAATTAATTGTTTTGTGTATGTATTTCTGATTCTCTGAGTTGTAATCCCGATCCCGACTCTTAGCATGCTGACGCATCCCCCCAATAGTAACGCACAGCGAACACGAAACAACGCGTTACCAGAACAACGGTGGTATGGCGGTGCTTGCAAGCAGAACGGATGAATAAGAAAGAAGATCTTGACTCTGGTATATTCCAATGGAAAAGTAAATAAAAAGAAATGCGTGGCCGTCTAACAAACGTATGGACAAGAGACAAGGGTTTCCCTAAAACGCCGGTGCCGTGGTATAGCGATGTAGTTCCAATCAACTGTAATCCTGAATCAAGACCCCAGCTCTAACAAACCTGCACGCAATGCGGGAGGAAAATAGGGGAGAAGGGGAGGGATAATGGAAGACAAAAAGAAACTAAATGAAACTGAGATTGAAATTGAGATAAAATAGGAAAAGGGAAGGATTTAAGTAAGGGAAAGAGAGAAAAGATTGACGAAGGTTGGTGGAGAATGAAAGAGAATCCAAAGTCAAGCCTAGCTTGGCTCTGCGTAGGCCTGCCTTTAGTGCTAATGAGAGGCTAGAAAGACTGAATTCGTGATAAGACACACGACCATGACCAGGACACCGTAGATCACAAGACCCAGACTCAGCTTGCGCAATAGTGCTCTGCGCCATTGACGAGTGCCGCGGCGAAGGATACCACTCTCCGTCAGCGGACGGGTTTGCGAGGTCTCGATGTCCTCATCGTCATCGTTGCCGTCAGACATGATCGCATCGCCCGCCTCGTCGTCTTCCTTCATCAAGCGTTGATGGTGCGGCGAGTCAGGAGAAGAGATCTTGTAGTAGAAAAGACCTGGAAGGATAAAACTGATGCTGGTGCTGCCGGTGCTGCCGACATAAGCAAGCACAGCTTCGAGCGACGACACGGTCATGGCAACGATGTAGCTCAACACGAGAATGGTGGTGGTGATGATGGAGAATCGGAGGTCACTCATTGGCTCAGGGGCACGGTTGCCTCTCGACCCCAAAAGTGGGTGCCGGTGGGGCGAGCTGTCACTGGAGCCCGCGGGCTTGGGTCTCCAGCGCAGTACTGCATCGACAGACGCCCGACACGGGTGGCATTGGAGCGGATAGGAAAACATGACAAGCATGACAATGGCGGCACGGCCGATCGTAGCATAGAGGCCTGGCGGGTACATGCCAACGATGTTCCCAGCAACGTTGTTTCCGAACGAAAGGTAACCGGTGATAGCCACAAGAATATAAGTTGCAGCGGCGCTACCGATGCTAGAGAAGACGACTCCGGTGGTCCGGAAATGGCTGTTGTTGCTGATCTCGTTCAGAATCGAGAACATCTGTTGCACTGGTCAGCAATGCTCTAATGAAAGCATCACGCTTGAAGGCATCATACATTTTGATGGCATGTAAATGCAAAGACAATGACGGGAAGGCTGCTGAGCGTGGGAACAGGGCCTGCCCAGTGTATCACGCGAATAGGACCCCGATCAGTGGTTGTGTCTCCGATCACAAAATGGTAGACAACCAATACAACCAAATATGCCATGGAGACGAGTGCTGCAATACTCGTATATTTGAGCGAGTCCAAGCGTCGGAGGTAGGAGAGGGGGATGACAATCAACCTGAAAAAGTAGGACACATTAGGATAGTCCCAGTATTAATCCCCATGGGGAGACGTACATGAAGGCTGTTACCCAAAAATGACGGTCCACAAGGAAGTCGTAATCCGGAGAACCCCCCACGAAACCCTGAACCACCCCCGGCATCAGATCTCCGATAATGATAAGATAGCTGACTCCGACTCCAAAGCATTTGATCGCGATCGCGGCATCGAAGATAACGGCCGCATTGGGGTATGTGAGCTGCGACAAGGCGAAGAACGAGGCGGTTCCGCGCTCCAGGTATCGTGCGCATTGAGACTGAAGATATAGACCGAATCCTGCTGCCATTCCCGACCATAAAATGACGAAGACACCGAGTACGATTCCCATGTGCGAGATCGCAAGTGGCATGGCTAGGACACCGGCGCCAATGACTACCGGAGTTTTATCCCGTCAGAAAAAAAGCCAATATGGAGAATCCATTGGTTGCGGATTGTTTCCAACTCACTAGTGTTGACCAGGTTGATCACGCAACTAATCCAACTGGCGTCGCCATGGTGTCCGGCGCTTCGTTTCCCTCTCCCGCCACGCCTGCAACAATCAACCGTCAGCGATAAGAAGCGTCGGAGAAAAAAACAAGGGCGGAGAAAAAGGGAGTATTTACCTTCGAGACATACTTCTGGGTGAAACCACCCCAATAGAAGCCTCATCGTCCATCATTTTGGCGGCACAAGTTGAGGTTCTGTGAGAAAGTGAATGATTGATAAGAGGTGGCCACACGACAGGAGAATTCCGGGGTGGGTCAACCCGGCATACTATGAGGTTCAAGGCCACTCGG